GCTTGTTCTAGGTCATTTAACCCAATAGCTGAAACTCAGTCTGGGAATGAGAGTTTGAATGGGAAGTGTAGAGAATAGTGAGGGAAGTATTAACTTGGGATGATTGAGGGGAGGGGAAGGCTAGTAGGGTAGAGGAATATAAGTCCAATAGCAGGCTGAAGGCACCAGGCTCTAGGTGGGCCAAAAGGGACATGGGAGCATGCCAACACCCTGCTCTGGCTCTCCCCCTCAAGGGTGAGCAAGCCTCCCCCATCCTTCCTCCTTTTGCTTTCACCTACCCCTTCTCCGTTGGAGGAATAGGTAGCCAATGGCTGTGAATGAATTCTAACTCACTAACTTGTACAGAAAAAGGCAAATCATGGGCCAGGTGTGTGCACGGGGGCACTGCCTTTCTCCTGTGGCCTCGACCTATACTCTGGTCTCTGAGGCTTGAGGTAGTGAGGGTCAAGGAGAGGGGACCTAGAACAGAGAAAGAAGGACTAGGTGTGGCCTTATTTAGTAGTCCACCCATAGTCCTTTGGCTGGGGAGGGATGGAGCTGTCACCAAGTTGTCCAGGGAGGCCCACAACTGGCTGAACCCAGAGCCTCTCCATTCACAGAGCAGTGTTCGCTCCTGCAACCATTGTTAAATGCATACAAAAGACTTAAAAGCAAATGTGTTCATATTCATAGTTTTATCTATTGTTAAGCTTTTTTTCCAGTTAAATGTTGAGGTTTAGACTAAAAAACTATTAATATAAAAGAGGGTAATTATTTTTACAATGCCTTTAGCATGTGCTGGTTTTTTTTCTTCTTTCACAAAAAGGTTTTGCTTTATTGTGCAGGAAAAAAACAAAAAAACCCTATGCACAGCATTCTGAGTCATCTTGAGTTGAACGGAGTTGTCTGTCTTCATCACCTCATTAGGTGATGACTTGACAATAATTCACAGATCTTTGTGGATAATCCGCAGGCTTTCAGATACTGCCTGGAATAGTGATAAACACTATATTTTTTAAAATAGCGTAACTGTTAAATGGTTCCCTCAGGCAATTAGCCTGTGTTGCTTGCCACAAGTTGCCCTGCTTCTATCCCCAGAGAGTAAGCATTTCGTCGGTCTGTTCAGAATTATCATGTATTTCCTTCTTCCCTCTAGGTAGATCACTAGATTCCTTTGTGAACAGTGGGCATCAAACAGCCATTAAAAAAAAAAAAAAAAAACTAAATATGTGCAAAATGCAGCTGTTAATATTTCTCAAGAGTGTTGAGTCAGATTATGTGAAATTATGAAATACTATCAGAAAAGGGCACTTTACATACCATAAGAGTCATTTATAAAGTTCGATTTGGCAATTCCAAGCCACATTTAATTTCCTCTGAAAATTCCCACACGGCAAAAAGATATTGCCCTTTGTGGCATTCAAGTCTATGTCAGGGAACTGTAAAATGACAACCTTTTGGAATTAGCACTTTTTCTATAAATAGACACTAAATCACTTTGCCAAATAAAGTCATATATGCATTTTCATTAAAATAAATACTAAAATAATAAGTAATTTTGCTATATAACCATTCTGGGATCTACGAAATTTAGAATTTTGTATTACAGTGCAGTATGAATCATGTAGTTCTTCATCTTCACTGGTAGGTGGGGCTAGTAATTTCTGTATTAATTATAATATTTTAGCATGTTAAAATCTGTATCTAGATGAAGCAGATACTTCAAAGCTTCAAAACTGATGAAACTGCATACTTCTCTTTTAAGGGATAAAACTGTTTGCATTAATATATGAAATACACTACTAAAATACCCCCTGCTGATTTCATAGGCTTTGCAGGGAGTTATGCATAATTTTCTGAAAATTAAAGGAGTGAGGATCAGTATTTATGATGATAAAAATTAGATCTCAAGAACTATTAAAAACTTGGAAGATTCTTCTAAAATGGAATTTTAAAAATTCAGCTCAACAATTTTAACATATGCCAGAGGTAAAAGAGCAGAGCAGACTCAGAGGATCAGAATTTGAGATTCAGCTGCACACTTACCAGCACCATAACAGGGCTTACCTGATACCTTTGTAAACCTACATCAGAGAATTGAAATGAGAATTAAGTGAAGCAACTTGGGAAACTTTGTAAGTAATAGGTTGTAACTTCACAAATGTTGGTTATTGACGTAGCATGGCATAAAACAGTAATTCTCCTATTCAGATTAAGGATAAATTCTCAGGAATCCACAAATTCTCCATGTAAATGTGTTTTTACACCTTTTAATTTTGTTTTTTGTATCTTGGTGCTAATCTTTTTTTTAATTTATTTATTTTAGAGAGGGAGTATAGGAGCTGGAGGGGCAGGGGGAGAGGAAGAGAGACCCCTCACTGAGCACGGAGCCCCACGCTGGGCTCCATCTTAGGAACCTGAGATCAGGACCTGAGCCAAAACCCAAGAGTTGGATATTTAACTGACTGAGCCACCCAGGCAACCTGAAGATTGTTGGTGCTAATCTTTAAAAAAGCCCATGTAAGCACATTCTAGATCATCTGAATATCCTCCTTATAACTGCCAGGCAACATATATATTCAGGATAGCACTAGTGCCAAGTAATTTAACTTCATTTGTTTCCAAGTTAATGAAAACAGATACAAGCAGACTTTAATAGGTAGCTTCCACATTCCTCCAAGGGAAAGGCAGGGTACAACGGCAAAAATTCTGAGCAGATTTGGTGGTAATTTGGATCCAAAAAACTGATGAGAAAATCATTACATGGCACACTATAACTTTAGTAAGCTGAACTCTAAGAAAACAAAATCCTGCCAATCTGCATTAAAAGCAGTGATTTAACACCTTGCATCATTTATATTGATTTTGTAGCTTTGCATATATTTATTGATTGTTTTAGTTAAATAGCCATAGGAAAACTGTAAACTTGAGCTTATACTCAGATTCATATTCCATTTATTTAAATAAGATCATAAAATTAACATACATTAGTTAACCTAAAAATAATTTAACTTGAGGGCTGTGGCCCATGAGATCAGAACTCAGAAAAAAAAAAAACTTTAGTTAAATCTTCTTTCTGTACTTTGCAATGCGATCCTGGGTAAGTCAAATGACCTCCTTCACAGTAAAATAACAATAACAATCTCGTTCACATAAGAACACTATGAGGAGTAAATGAAATAATTAATGTAACTGTGAATGAACGCCTTTCCCAGCTATAGTATACTGTAGAATATAAGGACTCTGAATCAAGAGTTTAGGCTTTCAAACTACACTTTGATGCCACCTTGGGCAAATCACCTTACCTCTTTGAGAGTCACTTTCCAATTTTCTAAAGCTTGGAGCTCTGTCAGATTATCTCACAGTTCTTTTTAATATAGCTATAACAGAAGGTGGTTGGGTTTTCCACTGAGATTTCAATGAAAATTTCATTCATTAGATTTCACTCATATCATATCCACAGCTACTTGGTTTTCCATTAGCTTTATTTTAAACTTACTACTCTGAGAAATAAAAAATGTTATGATTCACTTGTGATCAAGGCAGCAATTTGCAAAAAGAACAGGGTCAGAAAAGCTAAATTCTCCTACATAGCAGAGATTTCAATCTTTCTTTGCTTTGTTTTTCCTCTGTTATAATAGACAGAATTCAGATTTGAGTCTTTGTACTTAGAGGTAATCATCCTAGGCAAGTCAAATGACCTCTTAACATTGACTGTACTGCTTAAAAAGCAGGCTCTGGACATAGACTTGTGGATTGAAATCCTGATTCCACTACTTACTAGCTATGCAGTCTAGGACAAATTGCTGAACCTCTCTAAGCCTTATCTTTGTAACAATTAATGAGATAATAGCTGTAAATCACTCAACTGTGAAGCCTGGTACTTTGGGAAACGCTCAATGAATGTTAGCTATTATTAGTATTATCATGTTTATTTCCCTTCCTTTTCATCCTTACGTTTCCAGTTACCGCAAAAAGAGACTGCAATAATTGGGGCATGGAGGGCAATAAGAAAACTTTGGGAAGGCAAACAAGAAGTGGCAAATAATACTCACTGCAAAAGCAGGTGACTACAAAGAGCAGCTACCATACATGTCCAGAAACTTAGACTGGATCTGGGTTCCACAACTTTCTAGCTTTGTGAATATCAATTAATTTATATCACCTCTCTAAATTTTTGTTTCCTCCGCTTTAACCTGAGACTAGTAATATTTATACCGTAAAACTGTTAAAAAATATTCGATATACGCGAAAACACTTCCTGAACTCTAAACAAGGCGGTTTTTTTCATTGACTGGATACGTTTAGAGGGGGCAGAAGAATTGGATTCTACTTCTGGCCATCTCACTGCAAAACTGTGCTCCGATCCTTCAACCCCTCTGGCCGCGTTCATCCGCTAGACCATTACGGTAGTAACGGCCACCATTGATTACGGACTTAACGCATGCCATGCATTGCACTATGTTCTGAATCTGCACACCAGGCGACTTCTCCCATTTAGTTCTTGCGATTTTAAGGTAGATATGTCCATTTTACAGATGAAAAACTAAGGCTGAAAGAAGTTAGAAACCTGCCATCCGGCACCGACAATACTAACGTTCTAAAAACATCTACCATAAGAGAAAATCGTTAGCAACCAATAGCGTTGGCTCTGTCATTGGCTTTCCCACAATTACCCAGAGAGGAGTCAGGCACGTCTAACCGCCGGGAAAATTCACCCCAGAGTGTTCCTGGGCTCCTCGGTCCTCTGCTCCGCCCCTCCGCGTTCCTGTCCAGGCCCCGCCTCGCTCCGCCCCCCGGGCCGCTCTGGCCACCGCCCACCCAGGAGAGACCCCGCCCTCCCCTCACCTCGACACCCTGAAGGGCGAAAAGCAGCGCGTACCCAGCCTGCACTGCTCTTAGCGAGACGCAGCGCATGCGCTCTGGGTGCGCCCAGATTTCCTGTCTGTCCACTGCACTTCCGACGAGGTATATCCCGCCAATAAGGTCGGCTCGGAGGTGGGCCTTAATGCTCCCCGCTCCCGCCCCCCTTTCCCTTCCGTGGTGGAGTTAAGAGCAGCGCGAAAAGTCCGCGGTGGGAGCTGGACGGTTCCGCGGGGCTTTATGGCTGCCTCTCGGACGCTGAGCACTTTCCGTCTCCCGCCACTGCCCACGATTCGAGAAATCATTAAGTTATTCAGGCTGCAAGCAGCGAAGCAGCTATCCCAGAATTTTCTCCTGGACTTGAAGCTGACAGGTGGCTGTCTTCTCAGTGCTCCCCCTCATCCCCGGGGACGTGGGCCGGGGGTTTCGCGCGGACCCTGTGGGCGGGTGTCTGGCGTCAGGCAGTGTGCAGCGGGCCTCAGGTCAGGTCCTTCTACCGCTTTGTGCTCAAAGAACCCCGGAGCACCGCCCAGGAGACGCGTGGAATGAGTTGTTCGCCCGCAGACGCTCGCGGGCGTTTGCGGTGGGCGAGCGAAGGCAGGTTATGTAGACGTCGGGCAGACACTAGGGGAGGCGGGGGTCGCGTACCGTGAAAGGCGGGTGTGGAAATTCGAATCTCGGTGTGTTGACACTATGAAAGCGTGCTGCATGTGTGACTAGTTTTGCTTTCCATGCAATGTAAAGTTATCAGAATTTAAATTAGTGCGGGGAGTTTTTCAATAACATGTCGAAAAAGTATCACTCGTGGGATTACGTTATTTAAACGTTTGCTTGTTGAATCCAAAACCCTCGAGGGCGCAAATACTCGGTAAATACATATGAGACAAGCTACTTTGTGCTAGTACTGGAGATGCAGTTCGGGAGTGAACGAGGCGAAGTCTGTCCTCAGGGAGCTTACGTTTCTAGAAAGTTTGCATTTCCACCCTTTTAAGTCACTTTTTATGAGGTAAAATTTACGTGCAATAAAATGAACCAGTTACAAGTGCACGGTCTGATGAGTTTTGACAGACATACATAACCGCTACCCCCGTTTCTTGATGATATTTTCTTCTAAAAGGTGAGGTTGCAAGAATAAGAGGTAGTATTATAAGTATGTCCACTAATTTACTGTTGGAGTATTTACTGTATTTGAGGTTTTGATATTTAATTCCATTTTGGCCCGTCGTGAGAGGCTGAAAAGATCAGTAAATCTTACCCAAAAAGTTCATTTTCAGTTAAATGAAGTATAGGCCACAAACCATGAATAACATGTTTTATTTCTTGGATGTGGAGTCTTTATTCTGCTAGTAGAAATATGATTTTGGGTAAAACAGCTTAACTAAGCTTCAGTTTCTCATCTGTTAATTGGAGGAAAGCCCCTACTGCAAGAGCTTTAAAGGGTTACCCACCTCTAAAATTCTTTAGTTCTAGTAGTAACTAGAATCAGCCTTGTCTGGCAGTCCTTAGTCACATTTTGCAGGTATAAAGCACCATTCTTAAGACGGAAAATATAGGTCTTTATATTTTTAATGTAGAAAAAAATCCTTCATTTACAGTATCATGTGTGCGCCTTTATTCACTCTCAGGAGTAAATTCAGGAACGCAAGAGAAGGGAGATTAAAGTACTTGTCTGAGGTGAGAAGCTCAGGTGGGAGCAGATGCTTCCTGAATTGACAGTGCCTTTTTGATGTTCATTTGTATTTGAATGTGCCTGAAAAGTCTGAGGGCAGAGCCCCTGACCTCTCAACTATACTAGCTCTCCGTTTAAGAATATTAAATTCATAATGTCTGCGCTTAAGGTATCAATTCTATTCCTTCTAAGAGGCATTGTTCTGGAGTGGAGGAAGGATTGCTTTAGAATTTACACCTGAGCTGGAGTCCCTTCTCTTCCATTTGCTTTCTAGATGACCTTGCACAAATCAAACAATAGACAAGGAAATTGAAAAGTTCAGAGAAGTTAAGTTGGGGTAGTAGTTCTTAATGTGTTGGAAGGATTGGAAGAATTGTGAGATGCAAGCGAGAGAGCATGTACAGCACCTAAAACAAATGGTGAGCATATTACTAATTCCCGCCCAGCACCAGTTAAAAGACAAAACTATTTTAGGATGGCCTAGTCGGTTTAGTGTCCCACTCTTGATTTCTGCTCAGGTCATGATCTTGGAGTGGTGAGATTGAGCCCAGCATGGGGCTCCACACTCAGCGGGGAGTCTGCTTGAGATTCTCTCCCTCTCCCTCTGCCCCTCCCCCTCACTCTTTCTCTAAATCTTAAAAAAAAAAATTTATTTTTGCCTTTAAGCCTACAAAAATGATTGCATCTCTGAACACTGCAAAGAAGTGTTGGTATGTTTTCAGCGGCTAAATTTCCACTATCCCAGGAGGCCCAGTTACTTGGATTTTAGTATCTCAGTCAGTAAGACCAGCCCATTATATGTTTTTCCAGAAGTGATAATTGGTTGCAATGAATCCTCAATAATCTTTTTCATGATCTCTTAAGCTCTGTTAACTTAAAGAGGTTGATTAATTTAAAATACTAACTTTTCCATATCAATTTGCATACTTGCAAAGCTTTAAACATGTCCACTGATAAGTTTAACTTTTTCCCAAAAATGACCAAGAATCTAAATTTCTGCTAGTCCTATGAGTAGAGTAGGAAGGAACGAGTAGGTAAGAACTTGTTGCTGTGGCCTTATTGACCATCTAGATGTTTGTAGGTAAAAATGAGACTACCAGCACTTTTTGCTTTGGGATTTCAAACTAGCAGCATTGGAAATTCTGAATGTAAAACTAGTTTTACTTACTCAAATATTCAGTATTTGGCAACTATAGAGAGATGGTGCATGCTCACCTGGTCAGTTCTTAGGAATTGATTGATTGGTTTGGTGGAGGAACAGATAGAAAATACAGTATTAACTATGTAATTGATTGGTTTGGTGGAGGAACAGATAGAAAATACAGTATTAACTAATTTAAGTTAGGAAGTTTGTCGTGATAATCCTATTTTTGTTAAGGGACTGACGATACAAATAAACTATGTTGTGGTAGAATAGGGAATGGCCACTATATGTTGTTTAGGTTAAGATTTAAATAATCAGACAAATATGATGTAAAGGATTAGTTGAGTAATGGTTGATAAGAATTTGTGGAGATTGTTAAATTTTGTACATTAAAATTTATCAAGACAATTAAAACATTCTTTTTTCTAGATAAAATCGTAAGGAAAGCTGGGAATCTGACAAATGCTTACGTTTATGAAGTGGGCCCTGGGCCAGGGGGAATCACAAGATCCATTCTCAATGCCAATGTTGCTGAACTTTTGGTGGTTGAAAAGGATAGTCGATTTATTCCTGGATTACAGGTAAGATACTTAAAATGTCTTTTTTAGAAGGCAAAAAAAAAACGATTTAAATCTTCAGGCCATGATTCTTAAACTTCAGGATATCCCAAGGATTATATAGGTTGCTCTTCAAACTACAGATCTCCAGGCCCCATTCCAAAGATTTGGATTCCATAGTCTGGAGAGGTCTAGGAATTGCATTTCTTTTTTTTTTTACTTTTTGAGTTTTTGTTGTTTTTTTTGTTTGTTTTTTAAGATTTTTATTTATTTATTTGACAGAGAGAGACACAGCGAGAGAGGGAACACAAGCAGGGGGAGTGGGAGAGGGAGAAGCAGGCTCCCTGAGCAGGGAGCCCCATGCGGGGCTTGATCCCAGGACCCTGGGATCATGACTTGAGCTGAAGGCAGACGCTTACGACTGAGCCACCCAGGTGTCCCTAGAAGTTGCATTTCTTTTTCTTTTTTTTTCTTTTTAAGATTTTATTTATTCATTTGAGACACAGAGATAGAGAGGAAGAGGGAGAAGCACACTCCCCTGCTGAGCCAGGAGCCTGACGTGGGGCTTGATCCCAGGACCCTGGGATCATGACCCGAGCTGAGGGCACACGCTTAACTGTCTGAGCCAACCAGGTGCCCCAGGAATTGCATTTCTGACAAGCATCCCAGCATGGTCTGTTGACCACTACCTGAATAAACCTGCGTTATGCATCAATGCTAGACAAACTAGTTGCTTTGTGTGATCTTTTTTTTAACAGCCATGCATGTTCTGGCCCATTCCTAAAAAATAAGTAAATAATGCCAATAATGACTTAGTTACTGGCATGATTTATGAGAACTTCATTTAGATTCAGAAAATCATTTCTACAAGCAAAAAATGGAGAAAACATATGCTTTTTAAACAGATTAATTGTTTAGCTTAAGTATTTGGTAAGAACTTAAGTGAAGAAATGAAGTTGTACCGCTGTACACATAGATTTAAGATGAGGTTTGAATGAAGTGATACATGCATCTTTAAAACAGGTGCCATTGTTATATGAGAAATATTTGAGGGAACTGGGCATGTTTCAGTTGGAGAAGAGGAGCCTTGGGTGAGGAGATTCATAGCTGTCTCTGAAAAGGTAGCAGTGAAGAGGATAGCTTATTTTGATTTCTAAAAAAAGAACTAATACAAATAGGTGGGAATTGAGGGAGGCTGATGTGGATTTAAAATAAGGAGGGACTTATATTTTTTAAATAAGGAGGGACTTATATTTTTTAATAAGGAGGCAAACAGTGAAACCCATTATATCAGGGATTTTGTAAAGGCAGTTCTTCACAGGGGGGCACTTAATGGCTAAAGGGCCTTTGTTTGATACCTCTGTAATTCTAAAACTTTAGAAGAGCCCTTAGCCTTTGGCTTAGATGAGTAGCAATTTATTTTGTGAGTCCAACAGAATAATAAAGTTATCTGCATTATCACTTTCACACAAGAGACAAATTGGTTTAAAATTAGTACAGTCTAATGCTTGTATGTGCAATAATTGAAAAAGGTTTCATTTCTACCAGAACAGTTTGAGGAAATTTGTGTGAAAATCTAGGGCTTTGTATGCATGCAACTGATTTTTTTTTTTTTTTTAAAGAAACCTGGTGATTTCTTTCTTCTTATTGGGCTACATTTTGTTTTATGCTTCAAAAAAATTATATAATATTTAGTTTTATCTAATTTTACCACCCTATTGACAGAATTAGTTTCAGATTTATAACTATTTTGGGATTCTCATATGGTACATATTCCTTGATGTGGAATTTTAATAGTGATTTTTGCTTTGAACTACATTCTTCTTTGAAGAACTGTATCTCAATCAGAGGTGAAAGTGGAAATATCTTATTTTTGGTGAGATCATGAGGTAATGAAAAGAAGCTGAATAACACTATGTAATTCCCTTTAGGTTTCTTCATCTAGCCCTTTCTGGACATGGGGAATACTCATTTGACTTTTTTGCACTTGAAGAGACTTCCTAACCCTCAATCTTACTGTCTGTTAGACGTAATTCTTTCTCCTGAGGCAAGGAGGTGAATCAAATTTCTGTTCATCCCCACCTGAATTTACATATTCTCTTTTCCTGATCTCAGCTAAGATCTTTGAAGACAGGCTATTTAAAAGGCAACTACACGCTCCTCTTTTCAGCTGCCCCACCAAGGCCCTGCACTCCTAACCCCTGCCTTGTTTTATTTGTCTCATTAGATTGATCATCTGATACACTATATTTTCTTATTTGTTGTCTATCTTACCCCTCTGGAATGTCAGTGCCAAGAGCATGGAGATTTTTATGTGTTTCGTTCTCTGTTCTGTCTACCACATGTAACTGTGGCTGGCATGTAGCAGGTGTTCAATAATGTCTTCTGTGGGAAAATAAAACGTTGACTAATGTATATGTATCTATCTAATTAACCAACTAAATATGTCATTTAATAGTGAAAATGAATAATTGTGCAGCATTGATTATTAAAAAGTTGTGTGCTCTTTTTTCTAAATATAAAGATTTATTTCAAGGTAAATTGTTCTGTAAGAATTGTGTATTTGTCTTATCTGTTTCTGTAGAAGCAAAATTCTTAGTGTCTTCTATTGCAGGAAAGGAGTTTGCCTTAAAAAGAAATGTTGGGTACTAACATATCAAGTAGATTTCTTTTTCCTATAAAGAATGTTTCAATATGTAAAACCACTTTCATTTAGAGGTACTAAATTAATCATAAAACAAAGGCAGAAGGAGTGATCTGTTTTAAGGATTCCATTTTAATGGTTTCTAAGCTAATAGAATCACTTTTTAAAGAAATTGTAATAATTTATAAAATGTCTTCTAGCTGAAACTACGTCATTTGTATCCTAATCCAATTCTTACGATATCATCATGAGGCATCTTAGGGCCTTAGGGGAAAGAACATAGTGCTAACATGCAGGTTTCATCGTCAGCATGTTGTAAAGTAAAAAAACATGTCTCTTCTAGTATGTGAACACATAATAGGATAGTTTTGTGGTGAAGAACACAGACTTAAGTGTCAGATTGGTTTTGACTTTGGGCTCTATCATTTACTGGTTATGTCTTCGGGCAGTTAACTATGTCCTCTGTGCCTCAATTTGCTCATAGGATTGTAATGAGGATTAAATTAATGCCTCATACTTAGTTAAGCACTCAGTATAATTTTCGATATAAATAATCAATTATTGTCCCTCTGCCTTGGGCATCTGTTAATTAAGGATTGATCAGGAGACTGCTTATCTGGAAAGAGGTATAGGAGAACTGTAAAGTTATTCCTTTGGAACACTAGAATATAAATCCCCAGTGCTGTGGAAACGTTTCTCCCAACTCCTCAAGTTAACATTGGACATCTAGGGTTTCTTTCTCTTAATGTTGTAGCATTCTCTTGTGATTGTACATTTTTAGGTTTTTTTTTAAATTTTTTAGTTGCTTATTGTTGTTACATTTTTATGGCTGAGTGGATTTGCTGTGCTTTGGAGGGGAGTGAGATTTTTTGGTACCTCAGGAACTTGAGGTTTTGTTCTTCCCCCATTTCTGAACTGGAGAGAACAACGTAAGTAATACGTTCTCCTTGAAGTAAATAATCTGGGTTCTTCATTTTTTTCCTGTTTTGTTATTAATATATAAAATCTTTAAAACAGTCGTATTTATGGAGGGCTTACTGCACTAAGTACTTTGTTTTACAGTTTTATTGAGTATTATTGATGTGCAGTAAACTGTACATGTTAAAAGTATACAGATTACCGAATTTTGACAAATAAAATCTCCTGAAACCATCACCACAGTTGAGATAATGAACATCCATCACCTTCAAGATTCCTCATTTTCCTTTATAATTCATCCCTCCCTCCTCCCCTTTCCTATCTTCAGACAACCATTGTTCTGTTTTGTCACTATAGGATATTTCCCATTTTTTTAGAATTTTATATAAATGGAATCGTACAGTATATGCTCTTTTTTGTCTTACGTCTTTTACTGAGCATAAGTATTTTGAGATTCATCCATGTTGGGGTGTTTATCAATAGTTTGATTTTTTTTTTTTATTGCTGATTAGTATTCCATTGTATGGGTATGCCAAGTTTGTAAATCCATTCACTAGTGATGGACTTTGGGTTGTTTTCATTTTTTGGCAATTAGGTATAGAGCTATCATTAACATTCACATGCAAGTTTTTGTGTGAATATATACTTTTATTTCTCTTGAGAAAAGAATTAGATGTGGAGTGTCTGAGTCTTATGGTAGGTGTATGTTAAACTTTTTGTGAAACTACCAAACTGTTTTATAAAGTGGCTGTACCATTTAACATTCCCCCCAGCTATGCCTGAGAATTCCCTTAACTTCACACGCTTCTCACGCTTGGTATGGTCAATCTTTTAAATGGTAACCATCCAGATGAGCATATAGTAGTATCTTAATGTGGTTTTTATTTGCATTTTCCTGATCAGTAATACTGGACATATTTTCTTAAGATTTATTTATGTTTAGAAGGAGAGTGTGAGGGGGGCCAGAGGGAGAGGGAAAGAGAAAATCCTCAAGCAGAAAACCCACTGAGTGCAGAGCCCAATGTGGGGCTTGATCCCAGGACCCTGAGATCATGACCTGAGCTGAAAGCAAAAGTCAACCGCTTAACCCACTGAGCACCCAGGTGCCCCTGGACATATTTTCATGTGTTTATTTGCCATCTGTATATCTTCTTTGGAGAATTGTGCAACATTTTGAGCATTTCTTGTTTTGTCTTCGTATTGCTGTATGGTAGGAAATCTTTATATATTTTGTCAGATACATGTTTTGTAGTGCTTTCTACTCAAATGGGATTTACCTTTTCATTTTTGACATTTAACAGTGTCTTTGAAAGAGTAAACTTAGTTTTAATGTACAGTTTATCAGTTTTTTCCTTTTGAATTTTATGCTTTTTGCATCTTATGTTAAAAAATGTTAAAACAAGAACTAAATTTCCATGTTTTCTTCTAGATGTTTTATAATTTCAAGTTTTTCATGTAGGTT